GATAGATAGATAGATAGATAGATAGATAGATAGATAGATAGATAGATAGATAGATAGATAGATATCTATACTCGTTTAGAGATGACAATACAGTACAAAATGAAGGTCACTGAGTGGATAACGCCCTTCACTGCTATTGGTTGAAAGGGTCTTTTTGACGGAATCTCATTGGCTGTCAAAACCAGGAAGTAGGACGACAGCCAATCCCTAAGATAAAAGTGTTTGAGAGCTAGCTTCTGGCCTGTGTGCCTCTCTGAGCTGTTAGCCTGCTGTCCGTCACCATCACCAGCATCAGTTGCAATTTGACCAAATAATTTTAACCTTAGGGAGCAGCTCTGTATTAAACATGGCCTACAAATTAGTGCTGATTCGTCATGGAGAAAGCAACTGGAACCAGGAGAATCGTTTCTGCGGCTGGTTCGACGCTGACTTGAGTGAAACAGGAGAGAAGGAGGCAAAGAGAGGAGGACAGGCTCTGAAAGGTGAGGTTCTGATGCCTGCAGGGATCTAAACATGAATCTGAGCTTCATCGTTTCTTCTAAAAGGCACCAGGCCCTGTTAAAGGCTCTGTGGCTGCAGGGATTTCACTGATACACTAATCAAGGTTGTAGACATGTTGGGTTTTTTTGCCACAATATATAAACTACATTACAAGATCATCAGGTTACAAGATGGCTACAACTATGAATGAATCATTTATCAGACACTAAAGGAGAAAACGGATTTCTGTCATAGATTTAAGAAGATGAACTGTTTTATGTTCTCATAATGTCAGGAACTAAATCAAACATAATTTCAAGTAATATATTTCTATCACTCTTGATTGAAAATACCATTTGCAGCCCTCATTGTTTTGCTGTAATAATTTGATACTCATAATATTGGCTTCATGCCTTAGAAATAAGTCTTAAATATATGTTTCATGTTGCTTTAATAGCACAATGAGATTTTTTTTATTTTTTTTTATTTTTTTCTGCATGCATCATTGGTGTCCTTTGATGTTCCCTCCTCTTGTTTTAATGCAATGCACCTGCTGTATTGCTGTAAATGTCAAAAACTTCAATAAAGAGTTAAAACAAAAACAAAGAAAACCAGATTAGTGTTGTTGGTTATTATATAGAATCTGATTTGGTCTAAATTTTCAAGTTTTGTTACAGTTTTATCTACATCATTCAGCCCGATTTCTACTATTAATTGCATTCCAAATATGTCTTACTGAGACCTAGAGCTGCAACTAACAATTATTTCACTGATCAATTAATCTTTCAATTATTTTTTTGATTAATTGACTAATAATGGGATAACCAAAGGTTCCTTAAAGAAGATTTTTTTTACATGATTAAACCAGGTGAAACTAAAATATTTCCACTTGAGGAGTTCTGGATGGAGCATATTGACAGGTGAAAACCTTTTTTTTTTTTTTTTTTTTTTTTTTTTTTTTTTTTTTTTTAATCTTAAATGCAAACTGTTTACATATTTGTTTTACAATTTGGATATAATTGCTGCTCTAAGTGAGTCACTCTGTCAGCTAAAGGCATGTTTTACAGTCTCTGTAATCCAGTTAATGATTGATCGATTTGTAAAATAGTTGACGATTATTTAAGTAATCGATTAATCACCATTAATCCGATTTTTTTCGGCCCTGCTGAGTACACAAAACAATAACATTTAACTTTTTATATAATTCATTTCTGGAAACTAAGCTACATTAGTTTTAATGACTTCACATATGAAATACACACAGGTGAATTATACTGTTAAAGTTTCTGGTATTGATATCCTAGTTAAACATGTCCTTAATTTGGTTGTGGGCAATTTAAGCCTTTGGATGATTCATTCAGAACAAAGTCCTTATGGTATGGTAGGAATGATGGGAAAATAAGGAAGGCATCTCTATAATAGTCAAAGAAGCACAAGGAGTGTTTAATCTAGAAATGGAGGACGAAGACAGCAGATAACACAAACACCTGTAAAATGTAGCCAGAGCTCTCATTATTTTTCTTTATCTTTAAGGCAAAGCATCAGTTTAGAGCATTTAGTTATTGTAATCAGTTAGAAATGGTTTTAAAAAAGCCATAATAGAATCTAAAATGTACAGAGACTAATAAAGACATTTGACAGTAGTCCTAAGAGAAGGGGAGATAACATTTTCTTTAATTCATCAGTAAAAAAAATAATATGCATTTAAACTGTTGTTGTGTCTCTATCTACAATTTACAGATGCTGGTTTTGAGTTCGACTTGTGTTACACCTCAGTGTTGAAGCGGGCCATCAGGACCTTGTGGTTCGTCTTGGACAGCATCGATCAGATGTGGGTTCCAGTCCATCGGACCTGGCGGCTCAATGAACGCCACTATGGAGGCCTGACGGGACTGAACAAAGCCGAGACGGCTGCTAAACACGGAGAGGCCCAAGTGAAGATCTGGAGGCGCTCATTTGATATCCCTCCTCCTCCCATGGGCCCAGACCATGACTACTACACTATCATCAGCAAGGTGAGATAGGGTTATCTACAGTACAGGTACACTGGAAAGCAGCTTTGCTAGCGTTCAGGTTTTGTATGTGTTGACCAGCTGAAACACTAACATGGAGGCATGACTTGGCCCATTTTCATACCCATTGAAAGAAATACTTGCAATGTTTAAAGGAAAATATTAGATTTAAGGTCTGACACGCAGAGTAGACAATGAAAAATGATAACCACCATTCTGATTGCCTGCAGAACCCTGATACTATTGCCTAACACCAGTGAGAGTTAATATGTGACTAAGAGTTCAAAGGTCAAAGTTCAGTGATCATATCTTTACATGGTCGGGCAGATGTAAAGGTGAGCGTACTGGATCAATGGTTCAACCACTGGTTTTATGTATCTGAAATGGGACAACTAAAATGAGCTGTTGTATCTTTATTTCAGCTATATGCATTACCTTTTAAAAAGTGTTTTATCTGCTAAAAACCACAGAGTAGTGCATGGTTATGATTTAGCATGGTCATTTTCCAGGGGTTTCAAACTTCTCTAAAAACATAAATTTAAGAAAAGTGTTTCCTGAGGAACCTTATGAATGAATGAATGAATGAATGAATGAATGAATGAATGAATGACTCATGCTTGAACATTGCTTCAGCTCTTTTTTGAGTTTATTCCAGACCTTCACACCACTGACCAGAATGCACATTATTCTCTTGTAGAACCAACCTCTGCTGCAGCTATTTCTGCAACAAGGATATCGGGAGAAGGATATTTGGAAAACACAAAATTGCAATTTTATTGATGAATTTGCAATTTT